GAACAAATCAAAAATAAAACTTGAAAATATAGAAAAATCATACGCGGATATGTTTAGTAAAGGAAGTAAATTTTATCCTCCCACCATATCATTTACAGATAGTGGATTAAAAGATCTGTCAATAATTCAAATTAACAACAATTACAAAGGACATTATTGAGGACGTGTGGATAAATTTCTTGATGGTGATACTAGGGTAGTTAGATTACAATTAGAATAGCAGTTTACTGTTCACGTAAATATTAATATAATAGTGTTACTATTAGGTTAGTAATTATATTATACAAATCAAAGTTTGAATCTAGAGTTTGAAACCGGTTTTATTTTTCATATGCTAAAACTGATTAAAACCGGTTTAATATATATAAAATAAAACCGGTTCCAAACTTTATTTAAACCTGGTTTGATAAAAAAAATAAACTGGTTTTAAACTTGTAATTAATATTATAAATATATATATATTAAGTTTTATATTATACAATAATAGGTTATTTTACCTCGGTTATAATTAGCAATTCTCAATTTTTTATATATAGAAAATTTTTAACAAAAGAAAGAAAGTTAACTGTAGTATAATGAATAAATTAAAATAATTTTTAAATTTTAATTAAGTTTAGAGTTAGTGTGTTTAAAGCTATAATAAGCAGAATCTTAGTTTATACTAAAATTATATAAAAATTTTTTTGGTAAAACTTAAAAAGTGACTTTATAAATAACATTTTAAGTTATGCTTTTTTTTAGAAAATAAACAAAAAATCTATATTATTTCTAAATTTTATACATTTTATAATTGAAATTATAAAACTTATTTTTACACAATTTAAATAAATTACTTAATAGTAAATTTTTTATAATTAATAATATTGTAATTACTATATAAAATTAAGTTTATCTAAAATTTTTAAGATAAAAAAATTTAATAAAATTTTTAAAAGATACTTAAGTTTAAATATATAATATCCAGATTTAAGATACTCTTAAATAATATATAATAAAGTATTTAGTTTGTAAAATTAGTAGATAATTTAAGCTTAAAAGTGTTATTACAAAATACTACTAGTAGTATAAATAAATTCAATCTATTAATTTTATTTTATTTGCATTAAATCAACTTAAAAAATTTATTGTATAAATATTTGGCTGGGTTGTAACCTGAAAATATTATTGATTCCAATAGGCTAGCTTATTTAATTTTGATTACTAACTAAATTTTATGATATTAATTTGACACCCCAAGTGTTAATAAAAGGGATAACATATATTTGACTAATCCAAAATTATCATATTAGTTATAAATTTAAAAATAATATATATATATATATATTATATTGCAATTAGTAAAATCAGTGAAATTCTTTACTAAAAGGTATTAAATAGTAGCTAAAAAGTAAACAAATTATAACTAAATTATATATTTATTATAAATACTTAGATAAAAATAGATATAATTTAGTAATTTATTTATTAATTTGTAGTTACTGCATATTAAGGCAATAGTAAAACTTTATTTCAATATTGTAAATATTTATATAATATTTAGTACCAAAATGTATAAAATTTATAATTAAAATTAAAACTATTTATATATTGTTTAATATCAAAATTAAAATTATTTATTTACTATTTAATATAAAAATTACAACTATTTATATACTATTGAGTAACAAAATTATAACAATTTATATACTATTTAGTAACAAAATTATAACTATTTATATACTATTTAGTAACAAAATTATAACTATTTATACACTATTTAATATTAATTTAATATACTATATATTTGCTACAATTCATCAAAATAATCCTTACAGCATTTTTACTAAAAATCTAAATCTCAAATATGGATATCAGCACAACTTTATAATAAAAAAGATTATCAAAATAATAAACTTAATTGACCACTAAACTAGTTTTACTAAAAATTGACCTTTGATCTGTTAATTTAAGTGTTTGAGAGCATCCAGAATCAGTTATATTAAAAATTATAAATAAAATGAAATTTTAGCCTTTTAAACTGCTATTAGCCAATGCGTATATTATCTGAATAGTACTGGGTACTACTGTATTGGTGGGTAATAACATGCATCTGCATGTTATTTCAAAACCTTGCACATTATTTTGGGAGGTACATGCGCAGTAATTTGAATCATCTTGACAAATTTAGATTATAAAAGGAAACCTTACTCTTAATAATAAACTTAGACTAAAAATTTAATCAAAATATGTAATATGGTACATTTAAAAGAGCACATTAGTTAGTCAAAAAACAATTTTTAAAAAAATAGTAGTTGTAATAATAATATCCTGATCTGTTGGGTATTAGCAGGGCTGAAAGTCCTGCTAATTCATATACGGTCAGGGTATTATTAATTAATACTCCCGTGATCTTGAATAGTGATCAGGGTATTATCAAAATAACACCCATATGTATTATTACATGTCAATATGATATTCACTAATCTAGCAATTTGATAAGATGTAGTAGAAGACTGTTTTTGAGAATATATCATACAAACAACTTATCACTGTAATTACGAATGCATGGTATTAGGTGTACAATAGCTGATAGGTGGATTAAGACGTTTGATAGTTAAGAGATATAGTGTACAGAATAAATATTATAAAATAAAAAATAGGAATTAATAGGACACACAAGGACAGAATAATACAAACACAAGCGGAATAAGCAAATTTTAAAGTTTTATCTGCAAAATCCAGTAATGAAAAAAGAATGAGGAGGCTGTTGAGATTCATAATATTGAAATTATATATAACGAGTTCAAAGTTGATAATAATAGAAGTAAAGCTGCAGAAGATAAAATAGTATTGAACTTGAAATAATAATATCTAGAATTGTGGAAGAAATATTCCTAAATATAAAAATCATCATGATAAAGAATAGTATACTCACCTTCATGTTTAAATGTTTAGATATGAATAATTTTTCTTAACTTGTTGAATCTATTTTCAATAAAGAGTCTCTGAGTAGAAACTTAAAAGATCAAACTGAGGAAAAAGTAAAACAGAAAAAAAATCAACAAATCAAAAAAAGGATATAGGTATAAAAAAGGAGCCCAGAACAAATAAGTAGTGAATTAGATAAATGTCATCTCTACAACAACGTATTCAATCATGCTTGAAGGTGTGTATTTGGTGAAATGATCTAAAAAATACTAATAGTATTTACAAATATTAAATAAAGTATGATAAAAAACAAATCATTGCTCTATGGATGAAAATAAGATAAAAATTTAAGAAATAAAAAAGCTCGACAAAGCTTATCTCTTTCTAAAAGTAACAATATTCTCACCTATATAGTAAAATCAATTTAAGATTGGTGTCAAAGGCAAAGAAATAATTGCATAGTACAGCTCATTCTTATTATAGTGAGATCACTGAACTAAGAAAAGGATTTTTACTATAGCTTATACTGTTGTATAGAGAGAATTCTATTGAGTAATACCACAATTCAAATTCTTTCTGATATCAAATTATTTATAACAAGAATGAATTGTAATCAACATAGAATAAAAATCAAAGTTGAGATGATAGTAGAAAGAGTAGCTTATTTGAAATTTAGTCTAGTAGAGTTAGTGAAACATTATAGAGACAATATATTAGCTGAAGTAAAATAATGGATATTGCCATATATAAAATGACTATAAAGAATTGTCATAGATGGTTAATATTTGGCAAAAAAGTATAAACAAAATAAGGCATCATATAACTAATATATTATTTGGAAACAAAAATATATCTCAGTACCGATAAGTAAGGTGACAATAGTAAAACCAAGTTCAGATTATTGACAAGACCATTTGCCTATGTAAAACCTTTACTAATAATAATATTTTCTCAAACCTGTTTATTTAATACTAAGAAACAGAAATCAGTAAGATTATAAAGTCTAGAACAAAGGAAGGCAAATTTGTAAAAATAAATTGAAAGTATAAATAACATGCCAAGCTAATGTTTAGAATGACAAAAAATAGTACAGTATAATTATTACACTATCTTGTATATTGTGTAAACTTTATTCATTATACCTAAAGTTTGTTATAAGAGAATGTGAGAATGTATAATCTTTTAGTTTGTTCCTCTTGTAAAACTTGTAAAACTCTAAAGATTTGAAACATCAATCAAACCATATTTCTGGGCAATCAATGATTTTTAACACAAAAAAAAATATTACACAAAATGATAGGGCATGTTAATCATAACAACTGAACAACTTATTTAGTATTATTGAATTAAAAGTGCTCTAATTTTTTTTTATAATATTTCTTTTAAAAATAATTGATTGCACTATGATACATTTTAAATGATGCCCACTTTAAATAAAGCTTTAAGAGTTACCTTGTATCTAATGCTAATACAATAGTATTGTAATAGAAAACATATTTTTGTGATTATCTAATTTATATAAAGTATTATATAGCTCTGAAAAAAAATGCTAATACAGTTATACTAATAAAAGAGTAATTGTCCAATCAGATTAAAAGACTCTATGCTTTATACAGCTTTGAAAAATACATATTTTTGGTATATAAGTTCTTTTCAAAATCATGATCATTACTACCAATGCATTCATTATTACAATCATGAACAAAATGTACCACATTGTTTGTGTCAACTTCACATATAGAACAAATTTTTCATGTATTTTGAAGTCTATAAACTGGACACTCTAACTTCGTTTGATTGGTAAGTTTATATCTATCAATAATAATAAAAGCAAAATGTTGATTATCTTTTTTATAACTAAAAATTGACCTTAAAATCACAAAACATTTACCTCCTTCCTTAGAAATTATAGTTACAACATAACCAATATACAGATAATAATGTGCATCAATTTCACCCTTCACAGAAAAATAAGCGAGCTTATAATAGCAATATGAATTTTCAAAAAAATGCTGATTCATAGCCTATTTCTCGATATACTGATACTAGTTCTTTACAGAAATTGAAATTATTTAGCAAACTTTCAACTTTTTTTGTTAGTATATGCTTCTTCAAAATTACATTTGAGACATACTCATCTAATGAAGAAATAATATATAAGATTACTAAAATTCATACAATTCAATAAAGTATTTTCGATCAAACCTTTACTTATATCCTCAGAATCAAAGGATTTTTTGATAATGAACCAATTTTCTATTAAACACTTAAATTGATGTGGAAGATTTATTAAAGTATGATTTGTAAAAGGAAAATATTTGTCAATACCATCGAATAGATGGCATACTGCAAACAGTGTTGTATATTATTTTAACAAGTCTAGGTCTACATTTTTCTGATTTGATCATAATACTACATTTTTAAATATACGATGTACTATTTCTTTTGTTTCTACACTTGTATTTAATAAAGTAGCATAGTTTTTTGCATGTTGTACTAAATGGTAACTAACATGTAAATTTGGAAGATTCTCAAAATCCTTGAATTTCTATAATTAATGAATGTATTGTTTATGTATATAACAATATATAACAATTAATATTTATTTATTTTTAAACTCCTAGTGAAGGATGCCAGGAGTAGCGTTGAAAATTCATTATGTATGTATTGTTTTTTTTTGTACAAAAATTAACAATTACTGTGCAATTGCACAAAAAATAAATAACATTCTGTATACAAAATTTTCTTGTACAAAATGTTCATGCCGAATTTTTAGCACTGACTGGAAGACGTAATACAGGGGCCTTTTCCAAGTAAATTTACTAATAGATTTGTAGATATAAATTTTGTATTATAATTAATTATACACGTATATTAAATTAGAAATAAAGTAAAAAATATGTTTTGTGATAGTTTTTACTTTATTCTAAATTAATTCTATTGCATAACATATTTTTTACTTTATTTTTAATTTAATGCATATGCATAATTAATATAATACAATTACAATATGAAATTCACATCTACTAGTAAATTCAGGCTTACAATTAATATTTTAATTACCTGTGAAAATAATTTTTTTCATTATCTAAATATTCATGCAATTCAATATATTCAGCATCTGTAAAGAATGGTTTAAATGCTATTGTTATTGTTTTTGCCATCAATACCCAAAATTTCAGCCAAAGTTTTACAGCTAGATCACTTTGTAAAACTCTAGTTCATTGCTGAAATGTAGTAAGTTCTAAATTTTTAAAATGTGAAGTTTTAAAAATCTATTAAGAATAAATAGCATCATCATAGTCAAATATAAGCCATCTGATATTATAAAACTATTAAGATGTAAGATCAGATTCAGCAACTTTTGCCACATTCTTGGATATTCAAAAGACTTCCAAAACTTTATGAATATTAATTTTCCTTCTGTTAAAAGTGCTTCAATTGTTATCTTGAAAACCTCAGTACTTTGCTAGCTGTAATGTGATAGATATCTTGTGGAAACTAAAAATGTCTTTCTCTCTTTAACTTATCAAGCAAGGATGGTTGTAAATACAATTCATATTTTGTAGAGAGCTCTTCACATCTTTTTACTGTAGCTAGTGTAGAAATCTTCTCAAATTGACCATTAGTAATATGATGATAATGGGAAACCAGTAATAAATTAAAACCTTCAGAGATCCAAAAATCTCTTGCTATATTGCAAGTACGACAACCCCTTATAGCACTATGCTTTTTGACTCTAGCCAAGTTGTTTCCTTGTGGCAAATCAGCTATCACATCCCCAAGACTTACAATGACAAGGCCTTTATTTTTTTGCATATCTATTATTACTCCTTTTTCTAGCTTCTTCATCTCATCAACAAAAGGCCTGATAAAATTATTAAAGCAACCCCAAATAGAACAAACCCAATCACAAAATGATTTTTAAGTTGTTTTCTTTTGTTGAAAGGTAAATTTCTGATCTGGATGTAAATACTTCCAAGTAAATAGTAAATATTATAGAATATTTCAAAATCATCATAGTAAAGATCAATATACAACTTATAAATTAGAAGGTTTGTTTCTGGTATCTCTAATGCAGCAAATTCCAAATAGTGTTTATAGCAATATTTGACGCTTCTTAACTTTCAATGTCCCTGATATTTATAAAGTATTTCACAAATAAAAATTAAGGTCGAAGAAGACAATATATTAACATTGTATTCATTGTAAAGGATGAAATTGGTGTAGCTTTGACAATGTTCTGTAATTCAACAATTATGATTAAATTATCCATCTCTCGATCTAATAACTATAGCTTATTACGAGACCTTTCTCTTCGACTATTACTCTATAGATTATGTGGTAGTTTATTAAATGTTAAAACATGTTGAACTGTTGCTTTGAGATTGTCATCTATATTCACTATTGATAAAATTAAGCCAAATTTATTTTCTGTCACTGATTTTCTATAAACTATGAACTCTCTGCAACTATATACTGCTAAAAAATAATAATAAAAATGAACATGTTTTTTAGTACTAATGCTTTATTATATCTAAGTTTCATACAACATAAATATACAATAAATAATATACATTCATTAATCTTTATAGATACTTGCTCAAATCATGAAGATTCTTTCTATATATTTCTGTGCCAAAGTTTTTTGTTCCTTATAACTTTCTGACCTGGTCTGAAGTATATTTGGTCAAGCAATGAAGGATTATTTAAAGAATGCCAAATGATATCAGTGATAGATAGATAATACATTTCTTTAGTATCTTTAAAAGTAGATAGCATTTTCTTATTTAAAATATGAATATTTCTTGTCTTAATTAAAAATAATGATAATCTTTGCTGATACTTCCTAAACTGATAAATATTTGTTATGACATACTCATTTTTAAATTGTGGGTAGCAAATTATATCTACTAATTCATCATAAACTTGAGTGGCTATAAATATATACAACAAATTTAAATTTAAATTTTTATAATTTTGTTAATAACAAATAAATTTTTCTTATATATTTTATGCTTTTGAATCCAAAAAAGCATCAATATCTCAGTGATATTTTTGAAATACAGAGCAAATTCACCACTAACAGGTGGCATTTGCTCAATATCTAATGCTTTATCAACACTTTATCAGATTCTTCTTTTGGCACTTCATTATTATAATCTATTGGTATTTCATTATTGTCTAATATATCCTTATCAAATAAATCAGATTCTTCGTTTGATATTTTGCTATTATAATCTACTAGTATTTCTTCATCATCCAATATTTTATTATCAAGAAAATCTGACTTTTCATCACTTGACACTTCGTTACTATAATCCACAGGCATTTCTTCTTCATTCATTATTCTATCATCAAAAAAACTTTTATAATTTATTTCTTTACCTCTCAATAATTCATTGTCATCTAGTATTATATCTTCATTAGACATCTTATGATCATTTATCTTTTTATAATTAGTCTTTTTATTAGTATGTTCTTTAGAGTTCACTGGTATATTAAGTATATCACATGGATTTCTTATATAGTTTTGACACTTTTTAAAGGAAATGTACTAACTGTAAAATATCATGTCAAGTGTCTTTGAAATATTGTTCTATATAAAGCGATAGCTTCACATGAATTTGCAATTGATCAGAAATCAACTCTCTAAATATATCGATATTTAAATTATATAGTAAATATAGCGACAAATTTGACAAGTTTGTAAAATTCTTATAGTTGAGTATACATATTTACATGAATTATATATGAAATTGCTTATTTTTAATTCCAAAAGCGCATTTTATATAGCTTGCTTTTTGTTATAAACTAATTGCATAAAAAATAATAATCAAATTATTAATTATTTAATTACTTTTTTTTATTACAACCTTATTGGTTGATTGTATAAAAGTAAAAATTAATAATCAAATTATTACCATTATATTGTCTTTACATTTATTTACTCTTTTTATTTTACTGATTATTTCATTATTTATTTTTTCTTATTATTTTACTTCATAATAAGTTCCAGAAATGCAAAGAAATGCGCAAATAAGAAAATAAGTACAAATAATTCAAATTAAAAAGGTCGTAGGAAACAAGCAGTTGCTTCACCTTCAGATGATCTTAATAATCTTTTAAATAATACTACTATTTCACAAAGTACAAGCACTAAAAGAAGTTACAAAAAGAAGCAACAAGAAGAAATAATTGTGCTTTTACTCTTAAATTATCGTAATAATAATACACAAAGTAAAAATAAAAGGAGGTGTAAAAAAAAGCATAAAATAGTTGCACCTCCAACATTACAAATAATTACTAAACCATTAAAAGATGATGTTTCTAATAATGATAATAATAATGATGATATTCTTACCAATAGCAATATTTCTAATGATAGTGGTGTTCTCAATAATGACAATATTTTTAATGATAGTGATAGTTTTAATGATGATAAGTCTGTAGCTCAAGACAATACAACTATACCCTTAAGGCCAATATCAAGCCTAGAAACAGAATCTAATAATCAAAAAAAGTTAATATTTAACTCAAGAAGCAATAATCAAATTCAAATGATATTATTTCTTCAAACAGGATAGTATTTTTAAGACCAATATTGATTTCTGATTCAGAATCAAGAAATGAATTGAATGTTTTAGATAGAACATCAAGAATCAAACTAATAACAGTTTCAGATTCAAGAACAAATAGTCAATTTGACTATACTCTAAATAGAACTTTAAGGTCAAGACCAATATCTCCTTTGGAGTCAGCCAATAATATGATAAACATTCAGATAAATAATAATCGTAATATAATAAATAGTTCAACTATTTATTTTAATAAACTGATAATGTTGTTTTTTTGCTCTTTAATAAAATGACAATTTACCAACTTTGTTCTTGGTTGTGTGAGAATCCCAATGTTTTGCAACTAGCAAATAATATAAACATATCAATGCAAGCATCAGTCATAAAAGGATTATAGCTTATGCCTTCAACCTCATCTGGAACATTAACTATGCTACAACCTTGAGAGGATAAGACAAAGGCCTGTCATAATTTTCTAGAAGAACTGAAATCTCTCTTTCTTCATGTTCAGAATCCTAAGAAGTGTGCATTTGAGGAGTTGGTGCAGAAAAACTTCAAGTGTGAACTTAATTCTGCCAAAGGCATTGAGTAGCTTCATATAGCAACTAGGAACTTTGGTGATTTCCAAAACAAATTAGTCAATGGTGTCATGGATTTAATTAAAGTTTTCAAACAAACAAGATAATTTAGTACTATATAAAGTACATTATCTTATTCTGCATTTATTTATATTCTTTGATTAATTATAGATTCGTGACAGGCCCCTTGCAAAAAGTAGAAATTATTACCTTTATAAATGAGTCTGCAACTAAAAAAAGTGCTAGCTCAGTAGTTAAAAGCAACTAATATAAATGAATTAAAGGTATAAAATTCTATATACCATTTATATAAATTGATCCAGCATGCATTTGCTATAAATTATTCATCAAGAGACATTAAAAGGATAAAAATTTGGATAATTTGACAAAGAACATCATGGTACTATTACAGAATAGAAAAAACTTAGCTAGCAATTTACATTTGTAACATGTTTATTTGATTATACTTATTTTCAAAATAATTTATATATTAAGCAATTTCACAATATATAGTAACAGTATTCAAATACTATAATATATCTGATTTACACAAATGTTGTAAAAAAAGACCACTTTATTAATTTGTATAAGTCTAAAAAAAAAATATTTACTTGATATTTCTAGATGTTTTTCATATAAGTTAAATGATTCCCATAAATTTTGGTTTAAGATTATATGAGAGAGCAACTCTACAAGATAAAATTTCTATTATATTAAAGTGTCAAACCTATGTAAGCACTATTATAAAGGAAAGTAATTTTCTATTTTCTGATTTGCATGAATAAATTTGGGAGTTTGGCAGGCCTTGGCTCATATTTTTTTCGATATCTTTTAAGCTAGGGTTTGGCTTTGTGAAAAGCTTTGCTGAATCAAAATGAGTTTAATAATGCCAGTAAAAATATTAATATTTTATAATATAATTTTTTAATTAATAAATATCTTATTAATTTTTAGATATATCTAACTGAAAATGTTACCAGTAATACCTAGCAAAATATAAGTAATCAAAGAGAAGCCTATAAGTTATATCTTTTCATAATGGAGGGCTGGGTGTTCAGTTTTCTTCTTGCAGAATCTCATGTAATTTGTAGAGTCAAGATCCAAAATAGGAAGTATTAGTAATAAAGTATTATATATTGATGGATAGATAAACAATACATATACATATATAATAAGACAATAGGGATTTATCTTTCCTGTTCAAATGTATACTATAAAGAAAAGTTAGATGAGCTCTATCATGGTGTTTTAAATTAACAGAAGTGATGCATTTTATGAAACAGACA